GAGCCGTTTTAGGTAGGCGTGGTTGAATCTTAACTTTTAAGTTAAGAGACTTTAGTCTTTGCAACTTTACAGATCTTCTTTATGCACCAAGAGCTTGTAACACTCCAAAGAGGAAGGAAAAATTGAAATCGCATCATATGATCCCTTTAAGATATTTTGATGAAATCCAAGAGCTTTCTGACCCGCATAGACAGCAATGCAACCGACACGTTCAAGGCCCAGAAATGTAGAAAATACATCATTAAAATAGTCCATGTGACATCAGTGGTTCAACCATAATGTTATGAAGCTACAGGAATACTTTTTGTGTGCAAAGAAAACTAAAATAATGACTTTATTCAGCGATTTCTTCTCTTCCGGGTCATTCTCCACCACCAGAATACCATGACGAAAGCGCACTAAAAGTATAAAACGTTTCAGTTGCTTTGCTGTCTGGAGGGTCAGAAAGCTCTCGTATTTCATCAAAAAAATCTTAATTTGTGTTCCAAAGTTGAACCAAGGTCTTATGGGTTTGGAACAACATTTTGGAACAGAATTTTTATTTTTTCAGTGGACTATCCCTTTAACATTTATTGATTGCTCAATAATTTAAAGCAACACTGTGGGAAATTATGAAATTATTTAATGTTGATTTGTCAACAAAAGTCTTGAACTGGTTTCCAAATCATTTTCATTGCATATCCAGAGGTGTCACCTTATTTATAGCGCCTTATACATTGCAGATTTTTTCAACACAGCTTCACAGTAATAAAAAGGGAAATCTTTAAACTACAGAGCTACTTGAACTACTTGCAGTGTTGACAGCTTTTTTGATTATATCAGGAGTGATCTATTTTTACTGCGTTGAGTTTCAGGTATTGCTCTAAATTGTTTGAGTTTGAAACAGTTTAGTTTGTCAGAGTTTGTCAGCCTCATTACAGTTGCACTTGGCCTCAACTGCTTCAAGGGGAATTCTTATGGCACACAACACTGGAGTTGTTACCTCTGACATGGCATGCTGGCATGCTCCGAGCTCATATGGAAGATGTATTTGAGCATATGTGTTTGTATGACCAACACTGAGTGCTAGGACACCTGAGTCATATGAATCTTAGTGAGATGATAGTGAAAGTAGGGGCGTAGAAATCTTCTCCATCTGCAAGAGGAACATAACCTGTATGTGGACATGCATGTGGAATGCAGGCTGAAGATCTTTATGGTATCACATGACCAGTCGCTGAGTTTGATGTTAGCATGTCCAGTGGTCATGGGTGTTTGAGTGGAGCAGTTTGCAGATGGGCAGACTGACACCTAGAACCAATGAAGGATCACGGCAGTACTCTATATATCTAGAATTCCCACTAAAAGACTTCACTGGTGGTGTGAAAATACACACTTTTGATTTCACCAGTGTGTCATATACTCTCTTGTGAAAAATAAGAACACTTTAGCATTCTTTCAAAAAAGAGTTCTTATACAGAAATAATATACTTGAAAATGATATACTTCAGTGTGACTTGAATGTAATGTTTTCAGACACTTTAAGAGATAGTTCACCCAAAAATTTAAATGCTGTCATCATTTACTCACCCTCCACTTGAAAATAAAGAAGATATTTTGAAGAATGTTAGTAACCAAACTGTTGGTTGCTTCCACAATATTTATTTATTTATTTATTTATTTATTTGTTTGTTTGTTTGTTTATTCATTTATTCATTCATTCATTCATTCATTCATATATATTATGGAAGTCAGTGGCTACAGTTATAATTCCCCATTAAGTTCCATGCAAAGCATGCTGGGAAATACAGTTTCAGTTACTGTATGTCACCATCAAAAAGTACTTGCGTGGTTCACATTCGCCCTACATAACTGGATCTAGTAAATTATACTAAAAGTAAAGAATCACGTTTAGAAGAGAGACACAATTTTGATAGATCTGAAATAATATGATAGAATAAAGTTTTCCCATGTTACTTAATATATTTCTTAACATAAGGCATGCCATGCTAGTTAATGTGGTAAATATAATATCTTTCTTAATATCTAAACAAAAGCTAAATATGCTATAATATAAAATTAGAATTTTCACCTACAATTAAAAAAAAAACACTTTTGTTAGTCAATGTTTAATTTAGTGTGCTTACTATAAAGAAAACTTATTTTTAAAATAGGAATCATAGTTTCTGTTTTAACAAATGTACAAACACACAAACAATAAATAAATAAAAACTGCAAAAAAATAATCAAAAATAAAAATTAATAATAATAACAATAATAATAAATATCGCTGCAAGCAGCGATTACTGGGGTTCAAGCACTTTAAGGCCTTTATTGCATCTAAGCTGTTGCAACACACACATACTCAACCTGAAATGAAAGGGCTTAAGTATAATACTTAATACAAAGTAAGCATACGTACACATGCAAACACATTTTGTTGAAGGCATAGAGATTTAAAGTAAATAATAGGTAACAAAATGCTTACTGCAAGACTTCTCATTATAATGCAATTTTCAGGTCTCACTGTAATCATAATGTGGCATAATTGCAAAATGTGATTCCTCCAGGTAAATTAATTGGTAAAGTTTGACAAAATGTGATATTGAATGTTATCATAGTGACTTTATAGTTTATAGACATGAATACAAATGGCAGACCTGTAAATAGAGCTGTATTAGTGAGCAGAATGAGCCAATTAATGGTCTTCCGCTGCCATCTTAAAATGGCAATTCCAGGGATTTTGCTGTTGAAATGTACTGTTTTTCACCTTTTTAACTATTATAGAGGCAACTAATGTCTGAGCCACATAAATTTTGCATTTTGCATGCTTGTCTACAATCATATGACACGTGTGCTCACAGTTCATGAAGTTTTGAGCTTTCTTTTAGGATTTATAGGGATTTGGGTACATATCAAAGCCATATTATTAAATGGCGCTGTTATAACTGTCCAAATGCAAATGTTTAACATTTTGTGATAATTATTGACTTTTAGAGTCTAAAGAATTGTACTTTAAAAGCTAGTCCTAGCTTTAAAAGCTTGTCCTAGTTTAAAAGCTAGCACTAGTTCACAAAAGTAGGTTTTTAAAAGAATCTCAAATATTTAATGAACAGTTTGATTGACAGCATTAGTCCTAGAGGCAAAGTTGTTCAGAATGAGTTATCTATCATATGATATGAAAATCTAGTGTTTGTGTGAATATATGGACATGTTCTACAATTTGAGGTCATTTTCTATAGAAATATTGTGTTTTTAAGGCCTTTTTAACTGTTATAGCGCCACCTATGGTCCGAGCTCCATGAAACATTGCATGCTTGTTAAGAGTCATCTGACACATGTTTTCAAGAAGAGTTTTTGTTTAGGTTTTATAGGCTTTTGGGTATACTTGGCCACGCCCCTTTTCTAAATTACCACGTTATAGGTAACCAAAGGACAAAATTCAAATTTTTTTTGATAACTATTGATCTAGAGAGTCCAGAGAATTGTGCCGCAGTGGTTTAATCGAGATTTAGCGAAAAAACCTAGGACTAGTTTGCAAAAGTAGGTTTTAAACATAATTGTTCATATTTAATGAACGATTTGATTGACAACAATGGTTCTTGAGGCGAAGTTGCTCAGCATGAGGAGATCTATCAAATGATATGCATTTTGAGTGGATGTGTGAAATATCGTGCAATATACAATCATTTATACACTTGAAAAATGTGATTTCGCCCCCCCAGTGGCCGATTTCTTTCAAAATTATTTCAGACCTTTAGGGCCATTGGTCGAACATGCCCACCGAGTTTCTAATCGATCGGCCTCAGTTAACCTTGACTAATAGATGCTCAAATTTCATTGGCCGATGGCGGCCATGTTTTTTTAGATGAGGACTAGTTCGCAAAAGTAGGTTTTGGCCAAAATTCAAAATGGCGGGAACATTTTCCAGATGGAAGTAAAATCGGAGATAGCCATTTTGTTTGTCTTGAGCCAAGGATTCCATGATATAAGACACTTGATATAAAACTTGAGTCTTTGTCAGGTTCTCCCCAAATTGAGCTCTACCATCTGGCCAAGTTTCAAGTCTCTAGGCCTTATGGTTTGGGCTGCACGATCAGTTTTACGGCGGAAAAATAATAATAAAAATCCTTACAATTACAATAGGGTTTCTGCACTACGTGATTGAACCCCTAATAATAATAATTCTGGAGTGAGTAAAGCTAGCCAATATGTGTTCTGCACTTCAACACTCTGGGGTCAAGCAAAAATACTATTTTAACAAAAATGTTTATTTTAACAAAATTGTTTTTTATTTATTTATTTATATATTTATTCTTCATAGTGTTTTTGTTTTTTGCTTTTACTCAAACCGAATGAAGGTTTAAAGTGGAAATCCTAATTTTCAAATAGACAAACATAAAAAAATACTTTAAATAAATTCATTTTTTTTCAGTGCAGGTACACTCTTGAAAATAAAGATTCCAAAAAGGGTTTTCACCACAGTGCCATAAAAGAACTATTTTGTGTCATTGAATACCCTTTTTTTTCATAGCGTGAAGATCATTTTAAAATTCTAAAGAACATTTTTCTCCTATAAAGAACCTTCTGTGCATTTAAAAAAGTTCCATAAAATGTAAAGGTTCTTTATGGAACCACTGATGCCAATATGGAACCTTTATTTTTAAGAGTGTAGGCTAATACAGACCGCCTTGACACAGATGCACATTTAAAAAAAAAAAAAAAGTCATAGGAAAATGTTTATTATTTGAGCACTAATTCTCATGTTGTTTACTGTTTAGGATGGGTATTATGTGTCCTCCTTCAGTGTTCTGTTCTATATGTTCTGTTCACTGGAGGTATATAATTGTCACTGAATGGGTCATGGATTTTCGTACCTAGAAGTTGTGGGGTGTGTCCATGCCATGGGAGAGTGTTGTGGGGGCTGGGTTCAGGCGGCCCTGCACACATGTGCTGTCACTCAACTACCCTGCACAGACAACCCAGACTGAGAGAGGAGGAATAAGAGCTTCTAGTAGCCTGGAGACGCCTGTGTCCCTGCCTCATTGCAAATTTAGCTTGGACACTGTTGTCCAAGTCTCCAGTGTTGTATCATTTGGCAGTGATTCATTGTGAACAGTAGGGATCAAAAAGCCAGATGATGAAGGCTGTGGCGGTCCTGGGTGCACTGCTGGCTGTTGTGTGTCAGGTGAGTTGAGCTTTACATATTAAGTGTATTCTGTGGATTTAAACTTCAGGCTCAGTAAACTGTAAGTTTCACTGTAAAATATATCAATGTTAATATAATATTAAAATACATGATAGAATCAAACAATAAGCCCTGTGAGGTTACTATTCAATAACTATTTTTCACACTGTAAAAAAAAAAAAAGATTTTTGAAGTTTTGAAGAAGAAACAAATAAAATAAGCATAAATGTTAAATTTAAAATTTTAAAGAAAATACAATTTTAGTTCTTCTACTTCAAAATGTCACATTTAGTTCAATTTGAATTTTTTTGCATGTAAAAAAATTATGAAATTTAATATGTAAACATAATATTCATTAAATAATACATAATCATTCATTGTTTATCTGCAGTTTACAGTAACTTTTATATTTTATACTTGATGTTTATACATGCAAGAGTTTACTGTCATATCTCCACATCCTAAAACTCAATGACCACTTTTATGAACATCAGATGATTTTTTCCTCAAATGTTTGCTGTAGATTGTCAACATGGTCTTTGATAATTATAGCATGACTTGCTCAACACAATCAAATGCTAGAAACCTCAACAAAGGTGAAGCTACTGTAATTAGTTCTTCATGGTTTGCAATGGAAAGCAGTTGTGTTGTGCTTTAAGTGTTAGTTTATCTTGTTGGCTAAAGATTCAGTGTTTAAGAAGTGGTTACAGTTTTGACCTTGGGGCACATCTGCTAAAATCATCTTTAGTGGCGTAGTGTTTGGTAATTGATTGTTAACTTTGTCTTCAACTGGCTGAACTTACTAGCCGTCAGATGTATTATATTGTTGGTGGAAATGAATGATCTAAACACGCGTCATTTCTGATAAATTGAACGATGACAGCTAATGAATAATAAGAAGAGAAATACAGCTGGTTTTAACCTCGTTTGACGTTACGTTTCAAGGCCCCCTTTCGTCTGTCACTAGTGTAATCATGAAGACAACAAATGAGAATGCAAACAAAGTCACACTGTTGTAAATTTTCGCCACAATCACTGATCAGAACTGTTTAGATTCGCAATGGGACACAGATTCTAAAATGAGAGATTTGTCCTGTAGTTGCCCTCATGGGCAAGCTTTCATCATGCTATACATAAACAGGAGAAAGGTTGCTAGTGGCCGCCATGTTATTTATGAGCAATTCAGGAACAATTGCTTCAAAGTTACTTGGGCTTCATGTTTAAATATACTTTGGCCTTTTGGTTTAATCCAACCCCTTTTCCAAAGCATTAGCAATTAGCATTAGAAAAATAACTCGTTCTGTTTTCAGATGTGTTTCATTTAAGGCTTAACTTTGTCTCAAACTTTTTGCCTAAAGTTCTTTAGGAGAAATATAAATAGACGGACAATACATAAGTATTGTCTAAGAAAAGTATTGAGCTATAAAAATGAATGTGGGTATCTCAGATAATTTAGTCTTTCTCGTTTAAAATATTGCCACACCTTAAAGCAATAGCGTGGTCTTGATATGACGGTGCGCAGCTGTTACCAGATGCAGACTCAACCCCATTTGTCTCACATGGTAATCTTGGCTGCGGAAATAGGAGGCCAACACTCCCAGGCCATGCAATGAGCGAAACATTTGTTAATAAAGCAGCCAGTGTTGAGTTCATGCACCAGTCCAGCTGGTGATAGTCAGTCTAACTGGCAACTTTGGGTTTCTCTTAGTCGCAGACATTCTGATACCAGTTACTATTGAATATATCTATGTCTACTCCTGCGCCTTCCTTGTTTATCGTAATTCTAGATTAGGAAACCAAGACGGGACAGAGTTAATTGGACATTATAATTGTCACCGCCTGTTTAAATTAGCATGACATGACAGCATGGCCTGGTTATGAAGGTTCCATTACTGGCATGATCCTGGCTGACAGCAGGATCAGTTCTTGGAAAGAAAGAAAGAAAGAAAGAAAGAAAGAAAGAAATTGTAGTATGTGCAAATAATATAATATTAATGAAATAAAAGGACATTTAACATGCTTAAAGGGATAGTTCACCCAAAAATGAAAATGTGATGTTTATCTGCTTACCCCCAGGGCATCCAAGATGTAGGTGACTTTGTTTCTTCAGTAGAACACATATGATGATTTTTAACTTTAACCGTTGCAGTCTATCAGTCGTATAATGCATGGCAATGGTAACAAAATCTATGAGAGTAAAAAAAACATGCACAGACAAATCCAAATTAAACCCGGCGGCTATATTTATTTTAACTGAGTGTTTTTTTAACATTACATTTCAAATAAATATATTTCAAGTGTATCAAATTGCAACATCCTCATTACAATTGTGTAAGTACACATTATTTAAATACATGTCAAGTTTCCATAGAAATGACATTAAAGTATATTTTAGTTTAGAAAGAAAGAAAGGGGTGACCTTGGACACAAGGCACTTACTGGACTTGAGAATGACATGACAGAACGTGATCACCTGTGTGACCCCTCCAACCTCTCATCCAGCCCAGCATTCTGTCATGCCATATACTGTCTCTGAGACACACAGGATCACACATCCCCACACCAGTTAGCCAAGATGAACAAAATGCCAAATTTGGATTCATCCAGGAATTATGAGGTTTATATATACACGCTGGCCTTTATCCACAAAGCTAATTTTAGTTTATGTATTAATTTATTTATCTTCAAAAATTGTATAATGCATTGTACTCAACTATATAGACATTCATGAATATAACTCAAAAAAGCACTATAACTAGTTCAAAACTCTGTTGGACACACATGCTTAGGCCTAATGTGTTCCACACTCACTTAGTTTGTTCTCCTCCTCAGAAATGTAGCATATCTCATTCTGTTAGTCACGCCTGCACCATCAGTGCCATGGTTCGGACCAGCTGACCCTGCCATATGTCAGTGGAGCTTAAGGAATGCCTTACTCTGGTCAAAGTAGAGCTAAACTGGGATAAATGTGACCCAGAGAGCAACAACTGTGGATTTTTTTTCCCCAGAGTACTAAAAGGCCCAAAATTATTACACTTTCTCGGACCTTCATAAAACTATCATGAAATAAGTCTAGGCTATGTTTTGGTGGATAACTGAATGAGAGGTTGGGGGTTGCCACAAAGTCTGCGGATGGCACCTGCTGTCTCTGGGGGTATTAGTATTTGGTTCAGACAGTAGGGTATTTTCAGCCCTGTGACAGATTAGTGCTTCCCTTGAGCAAATGTTTTCACATACAGCTCACATTGCTCAGGAGACATAATGGAGATCTCACTTATGTCTCATTCAAGTATTTCTCCCAGAGTTGTATTTTTAAAAAATTCCTTACGAGAAGCAAAAATTGACGAATTTGAGTTAATATTAAAGTAAGTCAGATTTGATTCGCAGCCTTTAGTATTTGGGCAAATCTGAACTGTTTTTTTAAACATTGTTGAGATTTTAAGGAGAGAGATGTGAGATTACTGGGGCCTTTTTCTGAGGAGAAGCTGTGTTCATTTACTCTCCGATTAATTTCATCTCATTGCTTCTCTCTGTAGGAGAAACAAATGTTTAATCTTTCCAGGTGGACAGTCTAGGAAGTTCAGATAAGAATACACAGACTAAAAAGCACTCATGCATATGTCGTACATGAGGTGAGGAAGTACATAAACAGACCCTGGGTAAATGATAAGAGAAGTAACCAAATGTGCAGCTCTGTTAAAGACATCAAGAGACCTCCTGTAAATGCCACCCAGAATACTGACTAGTGTTTTCAGTCCCCAAAACGCCATTGTCATGTAAACGAACAGGCAAAACGCATAAAAAGTTTCCCGTTTTTGGCTGAAAACGTTGTCATGTAAACGGCCCCTGAATAACAACAACTCAACTGAAGTCAGCTGAAACTCAAATATCCAACTCGCCATGTATCCAGATTTCTGCTGGTTGATATTATGTTAATATGTATAATAGAAATTTTGACAATTAAATATACACAATAATGCTTAAAATAAATGGAAATGAAATTATTTTACAATATTTACACAAAATCACAAACAAAATATTTGAAAACCAAAAAAAGTAGAAAGGGATTGACCGTGATTTTTGGAAGGGACTCTAGTTGAAATGACCATTTCTATATTAATGCCGATAGTTGCAAATTAGCAAAATATTTGTTTGAACGATGCAGATCTATCACTAATTTGAACTGAACTGAATTCACCTAACTTCTTTCCATGTAAACATTTGCATGTTTATTTGTGTGTGTTCAGTTTAAAGGGGTCATATGATGCGATTTCAAGTTTTCCTTTGTTGAAATAGTAAAAAAAATGGGACTGTTGTTTGGGAACTGAGTCCTGAAATACAAGAGTAAACACCTTAGACTGAGTGTAATGCAGTACTACACTAGTAGAATGGAGAATTCAGGCTGCTCTAAGATTAGTGCGCTCTAGCAGGGTCTGTGCATGCCTGTGATGTCTAGCATTCTGCATGGGCTGCTCAGAGGCATGCTTTCAGGAAACAGTTCCACTGCTGCACCCATGAGGAAATCAAAGAACTATGACAGCCATCGCTGCTATTTAAGATTTTTATATGGTGATGAATTAATAATGATTTGCATTCTTAAATGAGGTCCTCTTAGTCTTTTGTTCCTCAAATGTGTCACACAGGGTCCAAAATGAACACTTACAGAGCGCCAAATGCACAAAAAAGAATTGCCTTTGGTGAGTACTGGCCAGTTTATTAATAACTCTTTTTAGGAATTGCAACATAGTGCAGCAGAATGTACAAAACGATACTTTGGACCTTGTTCAACTTTTTCTTTTATTAAACAAATAAGTAAATAAATAATAAATACGTAAAAATCGCACTTTTTTTCAAATTTGGGGAAAATAAATCATTAATCAATCAATAATCATTTGAAATAAAATACCCTTGTGATAAGGAAGTACACTTCAGCATACTTTTAAAAAGAGTACTTATGTAAATAATGTGCTTCAAAAGAATATCCTTCAGTACAAACTGAATGTAATATTTTTGGACACTTAATCACGTTAATTGCAATTAAATAGAAATGTTTTGTAGTTTAAATGTATATTAAATGCAATTAGTTGAACTTTAGATCGCTTTTTGACCCACTTAAGTATGTCTTAAGTATATTGTTATATTGTATAATGTCGTAATTACTACTAGTGTCTTTGAAATATGGTTAAACTGATGAGCATTTGTGGTAAACTAAAATGAATATCATTTAAAATGGAAAATGGAAACCTGGATATCATTTAATTATATTTGTAATTACCCAACTGTAATGATGAATTTGCAATTTAGTACAATTAAAATATAATCATTTTAAATGTAATGTTGAAAAACACACAACCCACACAAAAATGCTGGGTTAAAAAGGGACAAACCCAGCTATTGGGTTGTTTTGACCCAGC